TATACCTGTATGCCTGTGGCAACTATCCTATTGCTTGATTTCCCCATTTAGAATTCTGTTTACGCACAGAGAGAAACACAGTCTGACATTGTGTGTTGTGTATTGTCTGGTTCCTCTTCTGCTCAGGAAAAAAGGCAAAATCAGCAACATCATGTTTACTATAAGTAGAGCTCTCCTTAAGCCCTCGCTCACACCTGCAGGTTGCGCTTGTAGTGAGCTGTGGTAGACAGCCCATTCATTTGAATGGGCTGCCTACTGCAACTAAATCACAGTGAAAAAGTGTGTGTTCCTTTTTTTGAAATTAGTACCACACCTCATTGCATTATAGTAGGTTACCGATGTGGTGAGATACATTGCAACATGCAATACAGGATAACATGCACTCCTGCATTGCATAGATGTGTACAGATCCTCATTTTAATCTCTTGGATTCACCTTCAAAGTTACACTGAAAAAATCAATACATTGCATTTTTCAGCTGTCAATTTGTACAAATTGATGTTGACCAGGCATTTACCGTGTGATATTCATCGGCGTTTTGTTACTCAGGCTTTTAATTTCACCGGATTATGATTAGTTGGTATTGGGTTGCATGTAATTATTTGTCACAGAATGACAAAGCAGTGGTTTGCTAAATCAGAGGAAAATAAAATTATGCTGGAAACATTTTGGTTACTGTATCTGACATTCAGTGCTATTAATCACAAAGATACATCCGTTCCAAAAAAACTAAAGAACAATCAAAGATCAAATCTAGGGGAAGTTGAAAGACTAAAACCAAAGATGTAATACAAAGGAAGTTGAAAGAGTAAAATCTTTTTTTTAGTTTGTGGTGCACTAAAGTTCTGTGATTTTCTTTTAAATTTTAATTTAAGACAAAAAAGTGTTGAGCATTTATTAGTTTTCTAAAATTATTGTGAGCAGCTCACTATAGTTTTAGAGACTCGAGGGACTTGATCTGAGACATAGGAAATCTCATTTGCTTAAACAGTAATTGGAAACCAAATTGCTTTTATTGTTTCTTGTTTCAACCTTATTACTGAGTACACTGCAGATGGACCTTTTTGCTTTCAAAAGATCATTATTGGGGGTCTTTAGCACTGGGTACCTGTGAACTCCCAGACAATACTGTGAGGACCAAGTTATCCAGTACTCTGCTGATACACAGTTATATGAATAGTGCAGTATTTTTTTCAGATTCATATTATTTATCAGCTGCATATTCAACTGTAGGTGATAGGGTGGAATAAAATATATTTTGTAACCGAAGTGTAGACAAATACCATGATAGAGCATCAGTTAAACACCCCTGCTTCAAAATGTATTAGTTCTGGTTCCTAATATATTTTCATTCATTTTAACTAAGAGTATTGCAGTAAAGCTATACAAAAAGAGCGTTTCATACTTGTATATGCTAAAATGCCTATGGCTTCTATTCTTTGTACTGCTGTTGACTATAGGGTTAAATGATATGACTACTCAAGTCTACTATTACTGTGAACTTTATAAAAACGTTTGCAGTTCCTAACGTGTCAATATATTTTTACATGATTCCAGTTTCTTGCTAATTTTGTTTGACTATAAAAACTTAAGCTATTTTAAAAGATGGTTAAATCTAGATCAATGCACCTTGTGTAAAGTTTGTTAATAATCTTTTTTATTTATTTTTTATTCTGTGGGGTTGATTTAATAAAGGAAAGTAGTCTTCAATTTGCAAGGGGATTTGCACTTTGCAGGGGAAGCATCCCCTTAGTTTAGTGAATGAGGTGAAGCTCTACTAACCTCCATCATCCACTCGTGTACAAGGAAAATTACTATTTTTTTTTTTATTTCCATTGCACATGATTGAGTATTCCTTTGGAAAGTGAAAGTTCACCACATTCACGAAGCTGAGGGAAAATTCCCCAGAAAAGTGCAAATTCCCTTGCAAAGTGACCTGCCTATTTGTCTTTAGTAAAGCAACCACCTATTTCAATTAGTACACAATATTGTCACTATAATCATTAGACATGTGCACTGGCAAAAAATTTGTTCAGTTTCGTTTTGATTCAGATTTTGTGTTATTTCTTTTTTCAGGATTCTGGTGTGAAAGTCAATTCGGATTCGAACGAAATTCATTAGCAGTAGTTCGTTCGCACGTTCTTTTCGTTTCTTATTCGTTTCGTTTGTTGCAGCAAAGTGACATTTGAGGGAAAAAAAATGTTTTTCTCCTTCTCTAATGTCACTTTGCTGCAACGAACGAATGAACAAAGCGAATAAGAAACGAAAACGAAACGAACGTTCGAACGAACTACTACTAATGAATTTCGGAAACGGAAATTCGGATTCGTTTGCATTCGTTATATCTGTAATTCGGAATTTGGATTCATCCGAATGTCCGAATTTCCATAAATTCGTCCGAATTTAGTTTCGGAACGAAACGAATTGCACATGTCTAATAATCAGCAATTTTAGGCTAAAGAGAGGTACAGGTACTGATAGAACAAACAGCTTTAGAGGAAAATTAGCTCCTCGGTTAAGAACTTCATTTAAAATATACCTATCTCTGTAGCTTTTGAATAGATTTTTGCACGGTGCTATGAGTTGCATGTCGCTCTCTTTTTTTCTTATCTCTCTCCCTCTCTCTATACCGAGCTCAACAATGCAGTGATATTCATAAATTTCTGAAATGTTAAAGTATGCTACAACCTTGCTCCATGATGTGGCCAATATGTCCAAAACCTTTGGCCTTTGGTTATTGTTGCAAGGAGGAGACCGTTTTATGAATGTCGTCATTAATGAGTTCAGATCTATGAATGTATGGTCATTCCTGACTTCTGCTTTATTCACAGTAAGTAGGTTACTGTAGGTAGTAGGTTAGGTATGTTATAAGTGGAAACACTGCTAACATTAAGCTATGTTGCTGAACCTGTGTTAAAATATATCCCACTCCTAACATCTAGATCAAAGTAAAGCAGTTAGCATTTCCTATTCTACTTTTCATGATGCATCTGTATACACCTGTGTGCAGCCTTGGGTTTGATATCCTACGCTGAACATTTCCATGTTAACAGGAAAATAGTCTTGGTTTAATATTAACTGTAACCATGACCCCATTCATTTGCACAATTGATTGAAGCAGTAGGGAATACATACCAACAGTCAATCATTAAGTCTAACACTGACCAGCCATACAGAAGGTGGTTATTCAAGACTGCTTGTCCCATTCTAAACAGGTAAAACACAAATACATTTTGGATACTTTGCTTATTTTAAACATCATTGTTTTCCCTTGTGTTTTCTTTAACACATGTAGCTGTGGTTTCTCAAAGTAATGAGACTGGTGAGTTCATTCTCTGGCCTTTTATGCATACATGGGACACTGAAGTCAGGATCCCCTATATTGGATGTTCCATTAAAACAAGAAGTCAGTTTGATACTGATGACAAGATGATGTTGCTTTTGAGATCTTTTTGGCTGAAAGGAATTCTGCAGATTCCTTGTAGAATTTCATAGGATATATACAAGGAGCCAATGAGTAAGTGAATGCACACAAAGCTGTGTGTGTGTATTTTGCTCTGTGCTCTATGTATTTTTCTTGATATATTGTTCATTGTTTCTTTCACAGTGATCCTAGAGCATATTTATTACTAATATCTATTTACACAAGCAACATTAAGCTAGCCTTGTTATTTTCTGGATTTTTAAAAAATGTTACATACCATGCATTTTTATTTTTTATTTTATACTCCTTTTTTTCACTATTTTGGGATTAAATCATTAAACATGTTTTAATACTGAACTGTAAGCTATGTAGATGATTAAATAATCACATAGGTATATTCCGGGGCTGATGGCAGTTTAGAATATACATTTGGTCTTTACCGCATTCTTTAAAACTATTGCAGTAATATTAGATTTTGTAAGAATTATTGTGTTCAGTTACACATTGCAACTTATCAGATGAGCATTAAGCGTTCTATGCTGTTTCATTGTCCTGTTTTTATTCATAATTTGTTCCTAGTTAAAGATTTACTTGGGTTTTCCATTACAGCAGAGCTTTCCCACAGTGTTTTGGCAAGTGATGATGTCATTGATCTAACAACTCTTTAATTTATGGTCTGTTATAAAGTGTTGGTGTAGGTCAAGGCCATTGTGGGGAACAGAAGTCTTGTGGCTTGCGATGATGTTTATTTTTGGCTTGCATTCCCTAAAGAGGGGGGATGCTTAAATAATACTATGCTTTGGGGATAGGTAGCTCAGCTGCTCACATTTGATCTATGGCACATATTACATAAACTAGTGTTGTCATTTCATTTAACTTTCCAAAACAGTACGTGTCTCTGATTACATCTGCATTTAAACTGCTGAGCTCTTAGTAATAAAGATTGCAGCATTGAAATAGTATCTGTGTATCAGTATTTGAATCAGATTTAATAGCTAAATGTGTGTGTGTATGTATGTATGTATGTATGTATGTATGTATGTATGTATATATATATATATATGCTAGCTACCTAGTTCTGCAGACACTACCATCTACTGAGTAAAACAAAAATGGTAAAAACAGATGAAAACAAATGGCAATAATCTACTGTTTCTAAACACGTTTTTTGCATTTGTTACTTTTGGATGTATTTCTATATGAAAACGTGCAACATCTCTACCTTCTGTTTAATGTCTGTCAGCATAGATGCATACTTTTCTCTATCTTGCATTACACTACGATCTTTGATCTTTATTAACTACTAGAATTTGGAAATGTCACAGAGTTCTTTTTGTCAATGAAAAGGTACACCACAAGTTTATTACTGATGATATATGCACCCAATGAATCTCCATTTGCTTGTAATGTATTTCATTATCACATTAGGGTTTAATAAGCAAGTGCACAGGAACTTTTCTGTCCAGCTGAGAATACAAATTAATACAACACTGTCAGTACCATAAGATGTTTGGCATCTGTGCCCTGTTCATTTTGTTTTCTTGAGCAATGACATTATATTTGTGTTTCAATGTAGACTTCCAGGACCTTCCAGGGTGCCAGCTGCAGGCAGCAGTACCAAGGTTCAGGGAACAGCTAATTTAAATCGAAGAAGTCAGAGCTTTAACAGCATTGACAAAAATAAACCACCTCATTATGCAAATGGAAATGAAAAAGGTAAGAGTGACTATTGACTAAGCTATCAAATGGTTCAATGCAGAATTACAGTGATTTTTGTTTGTTAGATGCTTGTATTGGCTTTTTCACCCTTCTTTCAATGTTGTTTTAGGGTTTCTAAGAACTACAACCCTTGGTCAAATATCTGCCTTTTAAGTCAGTTGTTTGTATTTCTAAACTGATACTTTATATACGTTTATATGCGTTTCCCGAGAAATTACTATACACCTTTATGCTTGTTTAAAAGGGTATATTTCAAATATTTCACACAATGTTAATTTAATGCAAATAATTTTTTTTATTAAGCCAGATTTTACTTAAAGTAACTATATCTTGAATGGATATATACTATATATGAATGGATATATAGGGCAGTGGCTGTCAATGTTTTTGGTTGAGTTACCCCATCAAAGGGCGGCCAGGTGCCCAGGTTAAACTATGTATACACAGTATGTGAATATGCTACACTGGAAGGCAGAGGCGGCTCTACACTTTGCGAGGCCTTAGGCAAAACATGAGGCCCCACTCATGCCCATAATGGAAAATTGATGGCTGTGCGGGGTCTCTGGAGGCTGTGCGGGGTCTCAGGAGGCTGTGTGGGGTCTCAGGAGGCTGTGTGGGGTCTCGGGGGGCTGTGCAGGGACTCAGGAGGTTGTGCGGGGTCTCGTGGGGCTGTGCGGGGTCTCGGGAGGCTGTGCAAGGTCTTGTGGTGTGCAGGGTCTCGGCTGTGTAGGGTCTTAGGTGGTCTGTGTGTACTCTCAGGAGGCCATGCAGGGTCTCAGGATAGCTGTGCAGGGTCTCGTGGGCAGGTGTGGGTGGCACTGTTTCAGGAAGTAGAAGATGTGCGGCTGGTGCGGTAACTTGGCACTGCAGTTCAAGGTTTTCTATTTGATCACATAGTACACTTGACTGATGTATTGCTCTTTCATAAATAGAAAGACTTTGCTATTTGTTGCTAGAATTTTGCTTGGTTATTGAGCATTTTTAACCACATTCCATTTACCAGCCACCGTGAGGTTGGTGTCATTTTTATTTCAGCCAGTTTCCAGGAATTAAGTAAAAATTATCACTTTTACAGTGCTGTGTGTAGAACGCCCCAAAAGCCCCTCCCCCCCCCCAAAGCCCCTGATGTTTTTATACGGAGAACTTGTCACCTGCCTAGATGCTATTACATAGGGGGCTTGTTATCCCCTATGTGATAGCAATACATTTAAGTAAACAAAAATGTAAATGTTTAAACAAAATATAACAAAACAACTCTGGTGCCCTGCACACACAGGCAAATGCATGCGTAGGACACGTATATGTATTTACACAGCTGTTTCGGGCTAGCTCAGGGGTCAGCAACCTGCATGTGGCTCTTTCATCCCTCTGCTGCGGCTCCCTGTCCAGGGGGGCAGAACTACCGCCGGGGCCTGAGGCTGTGGGGTGGTTTAGTGAGGTCCGCTCCTGGGCGTCCCCCTGGTGGAATATGCGGGACTGCAGGGTCCCGGGGCCCCGCACTGCTAACGGTCTTCTCAGCAAGGAGGCGGGTCCTGTGTCTCACCTCTCCCGGCCGCGTCCCTAGTAACAGGCGGCGGGAGAGGAGAAGTTTAATTAGAAAAGTGGATTATAATGGGGAACATTACACTGCATGTTCCCTATTATAATCTATTTCTCTGATTAAATGATTAGACCGGGTCGCTGTTCTATCAAAGTTTGTGTCTAGGTTGGAATGTGTGACCGGTGACGTGGTCACACATTTCAATGTAATCCCGCTCAGTTTTTTGGCGGTGGAATGTGACCACCAATAGGTCAAGCATTCCCACACATTAACAGCTGTTCAAGGGCAGACCGGCATCGCAAATTGTATGTACAAAAGAACTGATCTTCCCTGGAACAGCTGTTCGGTCCTGAAATGTCACTTCTATCCAACTTTGTGAGTGGGGTGGAATATGAGATCACACTCACAGAGCCGGATAGAAGTGATATTTCAGGACTGAACAGCTGTTCCGGGGCAGATCAGTTCTCCTGCACATACGATTTGTGATGCCGATCTGCCCTGGAACAGCTGAGAAAGCGTTGGAATGCTTGACCTATTGGTGGTCACACATTCCACCGCCAAAAAAATGGGCAGGATTACATTGAAATGTGTGACCACGTCACCGGTCACACATTGTAACATAGTCACAAACTTTGATAGAACACCGCCATCAGGGGGGTACAGCCGGTACCCATGTGAGGGGTCTGGGCAGCCTGGGGGTCTGGTATCAGCTGTACCAGGGGCGGCATGGCAGAGGTGACAGGGGAGGGGGTGGAGGAGGCCAGGCTCCAGCAGCAGGTAAGAGGAGTTGGGAGGAGGTACAGGGAAAGGGACACTGGTGACCATCCCACCTGAGGCCCTGCAGAGCCCACCATAGAGAGTCTCAGATGGGCTGTGCAGGATCTATGGTGTGCTCTGCAGGGTGACTCTCAGATGGGCTCTGCAGGGTCTCAGGTAAGCCTTGAGTCCAGTGCGTTACTGAGCCCAGAGTCCAGTGCGTTACTAAGCCCAGAGTCCAGTGTGTTACTAAGCCCACATATACCTACCGTATATACATAGCAGAAAGGTAAAAAACGATATATGCCGTGTTATCTTCATTTTAGATGTCAAAAGGGTTTTGTGGCTCCCGGTGTTTTCTTTTCTGTGGGAAACGGGTCCAAATGGCTCTTTGAGTGTTTAAGGTTGCTGACCCCTGGGCTAGCTTGACATCATTAGTGCAATGTATGTAAACCATTGCTTCTGTGGAGCCTGGCCTATGTACCTACATAACTGATCAACTAGATACCTTATGATGAGGTAGGCTAAAAGGAACCAAAGAAAATACCCTACTTAATAGTAAGAAACACAGTAGGAACTCTCATAAAACAGGTATTTACTTGTGTCACTTCCATCACAGATCAAACAAATAAGGGATTTATTCCTCATTTTAAGATAGTGGGTAAAAAAGGCCATGGTTTGTATATGTCACACTAAAGATTGCCAACTAGCCTGAAACAGCTGTATGCAGTTTGGAATAAATGGCTCTGTAACTCTACTATAAACTGGACGTTCTGAATGCACATTTGGCAACGGGGCATATTGGATTTATTTGCTAGCTCTGCCCACTATCTTAAAATACTCCTCATCTGTGATGGAAGTGAAACAAGCAAATACTTTCTGTTGAAAAAAGTGTCTACTGTTGTTCCATAGAAAGTTAGGCAAACAGAATTATATTTTTTAAATGCCTCTAAAAACAGGTGAATGAGGGCTTTTACTTCTTGCTCAGAATATGTAAATGTGTGCCCAGTCTGGACACAGGTTCACATTAACTAGAAAAAGGTTTATTTAAAACAAGACATGTGCATTATGCTAATCTACCTCTTAGCAATCAACAGTAGAGGCTCATTATTAAACAAGTGCATTATCAATGGATAGACTCATTTAATTTAAATAGCTGCGATACAAGAGGTGTTTACAATCATACTGCATGTGTGATTGGTAATGGACACATCAAGATGTACTCCACCATTACCAATAATAAAAATGTACATCTGTAGATATTGTAAAGCCAGGGCTTGAAATCCAAAAGTAGCATTTCCTACCTTGTGATTATTGTAATTTCAAAGTGATTGTCTAAATATTAATGCAGTGTACTTTTTTATTTCAAGAAAGAAGACAAACTGCATTTGTGTCTAAACTACTGCAATGATACTTAAACCCTGATAGTACTTAGATACCTGAAAAATGAAACTGTTTTGGAAATGCTTATACTGTCAATGTAGATTTGGCACGTATTATTAATCACCTAAATGGCCACAAGATGGGGACAGTGTCTGCAAAATCCTGTTCTTTGCTAAAGATGCAGAACATTCTGAATATAGCCTGGCTTTCTTGGAAGCTTTCACATTATGTTTAATGTATTTATTAGCAGCCTACAGTCTCTGAATATAAGTGAGCATAGCCTTGTGATTACACAAGATATTCTTCAGTGGCAATTTTTCTCATCACCTACAGAGCCACTTATCAGTAGAGTAATGCTGTAATAATGGACATTACCTTCAAGATTCCTTTATTTTTTTCAAAGGGTATTGATTAAAGCAGCCACTATGAGGTATCTGTCCATACTAGTGTTCTACACTTGACTCCTAACTGGCAGAACACACACTGCTGTTATAGATGGAGAAAGAACCACAGAGCATGTCGTGCTTCATTCATTTATTATTTCTACTACGTCAGCATTTGTTGGTAGTTATTTAAACACATAGTACATTTTCTTTTATATTCGATGTGGTGTTTTAGAATTCTACTTTACTATTTAAATAATTACTGTTAATAATTCAGTGATGACCGTGTAACACCACCCACCACTTCTTTTTTCTTCCAGTGTCTTTTTTTCACCATAAATGAAACTTGCAGAGAAAAATTACTTACCCAAAGCAATGTGTCTATCTGCTTCTACTATTAGACAGGCATCATCTGCTCATCTAGAGGCAGAGCTATCACATAACTCAAATCATATCTGTTTGGTTGTATATGCAACGATTTAAAAACCTATCCTTTGACTTTTCTACCTGTGCATGTTTAACTCATCCGCTTACATAACCAGAGCCACATCTGAGGGCTAGGCATAGGCATTATATTATGACTAATGGTTCCTGTATGATGGCCTAAACAGGTCCAAAATCCATTTAATTTGTAATGCACAAGCCTCATCAAGTAAACAAAAACTTAGATTAACTTCCCTGAGCCAAAACCTCCTTCATTTTTGTGTCACATGCTCCCCCTCCCAGACCCTGCAGCTCACAGTGGTAGAGTTTCAGCAACAGAGACAGTGCAGAAAGCAGCACTAGGTATGGCCAGGTGCTGATTAACAAGCTAAAGGCTTGTGAATCAACAGTGACAATGTTAATAGCCACACTCTCTTCAACATCTTCTCATCCCACTGTAGTACGAGCAGGTACAGCTTGCATGAAAGTGGCAACACTGTTCCAAATTCTGGAGCAGAGCAGCATTGTTGCTTCCCCATCAAAGGAAGTTGCCTTAGCTGGACTTCCCTGACAGGCTCAAGCAGGTATTTGTGGGATAGGGGGAGTAAGTGTTGCGGCACATATTTTCTGTCTGTTTTAGGTAGCAATATCAATTCTTTTTGCATCCAGTTTAATGGTTTCTGCCAAAGTTGTACTGAAACACTGTGAGCTGTAATTAGGGAGAGCATAAACAGGATTTCAAGTGCTGGCAATGTTTGTAATAGCACCCTGTGGTCCTTGAATGGTACAACTCTTACAAATATTATACAGAGTTTGATAAATAGAAATGTAATAATTTTTATTTATTGTCCATTGAAGGACACTGAAATAGTCGATAATATTAGACCAATGTATTTTACTGCTACCTTCAGAAGTTTAGAACACTGACAAACCACATGTGTCCCTGTCAAATACTGTACCTGGGAAACCAGGCTGATAAGTGATTCTCTTGCATTTCTTGTCCACCACCCCTGGAAGTGGTGATATGAAGTGTGAGGACATAGTGACACAAGTGACAGTGTTGCAGGCAGTGTCGGTTCTATGCAGTTGTCAGTTGCATGGACCAGATGACTGTAGACTGTGGGGCAGGAACACTAAAGTACCAGAGCAGGTGATGAACGTAGTCTTAACACAAGCCAAGGTCAGTAACAGCTGGGCAGTGAAGTACCAAACCAGGAGACACAACCATAGTCAGGGGCACAGGTCAAGGCCAGTAACATCCAGGCAGCGAGGTACAAGGCAGAAGACCGTAAGCTGAATCCAATAGGCAGGTTGAGGTCACAATGAATAAGTAAAGGTCCAGAGGCAGGTCAAAGGGCAGGCTGTGACGTACACGGGTAAGCAGAATTAGCAGGTCATGTTGCAGGTAATCAGGAACTAGCTGAAGATCACTCAGCAATCTCTCTGAGCAGTGTTTTAATTTAATTAGGCCACTTGATATGTGTAGCACAAGCGTCGTTTTTGTATGTAGGTGCACCCGACTTGTGTTTCCATTATTATGAACGTGTTCAGGGGTTGGGGGACTTCAAACATTTTTGGGGAATTTTGTAATTTAACTTTAGTTAACTTTATTGTTTTAATTTGGTTTTTTTTGCCCTCACAAGCCCCCTATGTGATAGCATATATCAGATGAGAGGTTCTCTTTGAGGTGACATTGGGGTCTATTAGACCCATATTGTCACCTTTCCACTTCAATAGCTTTATCTAGGGAATGACAGCTGCAAACACAGCAGACAGTGGCTGGGGGCGATAGCTAGCCTGCTATTGGCTATTTTAAACTGCAATAGCCAATTGCAGGCTGGCTTTTGCACCCGCCCACTGCCTTCTGTCAATCAGCAGAGGAGGGAACTGATGGAGAAAGCCTCCTTCAGGTCCTCCTCTGCTGATTGACAGCAGGCAGTGGGTGGGTGCAATAGCCAGCTTGTTATTGGCTATTGCAATTTAAAATAGCCAATAGCAGGCTGGCTAGCCACTGGATGGGTACCTGATCTGATGAGCTTTCTACCACCAGCAAAAGAAGGGGGTACGGGGAGCAGCAGAGGTATAGGGGAAGGACCAAGGAACTGGGGCTTCAGTGTGGGACAGCAGCGGATGAGCCCAGACAGCAGCAGATGAGCCGGGGCAGCAGGGGATGAGACGGGGAATGCAAAAACACAGCAGTCTCTCCTCCACATTAGTTATATTATGCGGCACTATAAACCCAAATCCTTAAAATAATTGAAAAATCTTTTGTGTACCACACGTGATAACTATCCACCTTAATCAAACAAAAATGCAATGAACATATAATCAAATACCATATATAAACCTCTATCCGTTTTCAGTCCCAGGACTTTGAAAAAAATGTATTAAAGGAGAACTATGGGGTTAGGGCTTTTCCCCATAGTTCTCCTTAGGGTAACGGGACGACACAAACTAGCGTCCTCCCGTCACCCTAAGCTCAGTATGTAGCTCTCGCTATACTGAGACGCCGCAGCTGAAGCGGATCCCGGCAATTATGTCTGGATCCGCCCAGCTGCATGAGTGACAGCTGGCTCTGCCTATCTAGAGGCAGAGCCAGCAGTACCCACCCCCTCCCTGTCCATTCCACCAGTCAGCTCTGGAGGATCTGAGTGGGGAGGGGGGAATTCAGCCACTCCCCTGTCATGGCAGAGAGCTGTGACAGGATCGACAAGTGAGCGAACACCTGTATGTGTTCGCTCACTTCCCGATCTACTGAGCCGACCTGTGACAGTCTCATTGTCACAGGTCGTCTAGAACTATGAGGTGAGTGAAAAGCACTCACCTCATAGTTCTCCTTTAATAATCAGATAAGAAATATTGTAAACCAGTGTTGTTCAAAACATTACAAAAATGTATCAATGTTCAAACGAAAACATAAAGCTCCATGTACCTCTTTTATGATAACTTTCCAGTGTTATTATTATCTCTGTGTGAAATTTCAGTGTTCACACCCCTTCACCTCTACTCCATCAATGCAAAAAAAATTAAAGAATAAAATAAATGAAAAAAAGTTCTGTGTCAGTTTCTCTCAATGTTAACCAGCTACTGACTCCTTTTCTGTGTCTCTCTCACATCCGTGCAATTAAAACAATCGTACTGCTCACCTCCTCGCCAGAACTCTTTCTCCCAAGAGATTAGGTCACAAGCGCTTTTGAAGATCAGATTTTTTGCTTGTGTGTTCAGCCGTATAATCTACTTTTTGGGACCCTTTCCACTTTCATCAGAACTCCCTCCGGTTAAACTCAGTTCCGCATTAGAGTCTCTTCTACCCGCTGTTGTTGGCTGCAGTGGTCTGTGTCCCCGCTGCTTCTGCCGACACAGGCGGGGAGATCAGCAGAGATTGAAAGGAACACAGACAGCTACAGCCGGCACCAGCGGGGAGGAGAACAGTGGAGGTCAGTGACGCGGGGGGCTGAGCAGCGGCTGAGCGGAATCAACTAATCGATAAGCAGAATTGTTGAGATATTATCGATTAGTTGTTGCAGCTTTAAATTTTACAGAGAGTAAAAAAATCCACTTTTTATCTCTTTAGATGTATTATGTGTAATAAATATTGGATTTTTTGGTTCTTTTCAGAGCTTATTAGAAATTAATTTTGTGATATTATATCAGGACAGATATTCAAATGATGAAAACTACAACTATATAATTGCTGAATTGGTAAAATGGAATGACATCCAAAATGAACATGTACAGTATACGCTTGATGCTCACTATGTCTCAATTAACTATCGGTAATATACATAGGTCTTTTATAAGTATTTTTTTTTAAAAAGGTTATGTATTAGTAAGATTGAAATAGAAATATACTGAATCAAGAATATGGGTTTTATCTGTACAAGGCCAGTACAGCGAAGTGCTGAGAAAAGCAGTTGTTCAGTTCATGATTAGGTTTCTTTAAAATATTCACAGCAGAATTCTAATCTCTCAGTGTCACTGAGAGAGAAGATTACTAGTGGCACATTTAAATCACTATGTTAAAAGTATTCTGAGATTATCCTACATGCAGAAAAGGACATAACAATTACCCCCAAAAAGCAGATTCTGAAGTTGTAGTTTATAGCTAGGACTGTATATATTACGGTTGTGTATAAAACTAAGAGTGCACAAGGCAGTCTGTAAATTTTTCACTGCCCTATGCATACCTGAAGGGTGCTGCTCATGTGCACAGCTCCACCCTCTGTGCCATGTGATTATATTCGTTAAAGTTATGATATGCTAATGGAGACAGCATGCTATCTGTTTTATATGCATTGCTATTTTTTTTATTGTACAAACTACTAACAAAGGAAAAGAGAAATTACTTCATGTTTTTATGTCATGTCGATAAAGAGACTTCTGACTCCTCTTAACGTCCCATGAACCCACTTAACCCTACAGTTTGCTTGCTGAATTTAGCCACAAACTTGATAGAGTAGGAAAACATTGCATAAATTCATGTTGTTTTTTTTTTTCCTTACAGAATCACCAAAAGGCCCTCAACCGTCTGCAGGCATGAATGGAAATGTGCAATATCTCACTAGCTCTGGTCAGCAAGTGGCCTCTGCCATACCCTCTCCAAGTACCAGTAAGCCTTGGCGCAGTAAATCCATGAATGTTAAACACAGTGCCACATCTACCATGCTGTCTGTTAAGCAGCCTAGTCCAGCAACCTCCCCCACACCATCCCCAGACAGAGTAAAACCATCATTGTCTGAAGGAATTAAAAGCACCTCCTCTGGGCAAAAATCCATGCTTGAAAAATTTAAATTGGTGAACACAAGGGTTAATTTGAGGTCTGCATCTTCACCATCAAATGAAGTCATTATTGAGGATGACTCCTTTTCAGAATGTGGAGAAAATGACGTTTGTTCTACGTTAAACAGTCCTAAAATATCACCAAAATTGACTCCTCCAAAGGCTGGAAGCAAAAATCTCAGCAATAAAAAAGGGTTGCCACAGCCAAAGGAAAAAGAAGAGAAGAACAAGGAGAAAAATAAATCAAACACTGAGAAACCAGCTAAAGAAGAAAAGGAACAGACATCGGAAGGATCAAAAAAGAGCTCCAAAATGGCAAGCTTGATTCCAAAGGGAAATAAATCAGCTGCAGTTAAAAAGGAGAGTTTAATTCCCTTATCAAGTGGAATCCCTAAGCCCGGATCAAAAACGCCAGCAACAAAACAGTCTACATCCCCAGTTTCTGCAACTGTAAAAGAGTCAGAAAAAAGCAGGACTACCAAAGGCAGTCAAACTGTATGCACACCAAAACCCACCACCAGTGAAAAGCTGTCTACACCCACTGAAGGAAAAGTCTCTTCTGCTTCCACTACACAGACTACAACAACATATCCCCCTGGTGCCAGTGTCCAGTTTACAGGAAATGGGATTGTGCAGCTTCCTCAGCAGCAGTTCCCACACCCAAATACTGCAACGGTGGCACCATTCATTTACAGGTAAATACACTGGTTATTAATTTATGACAATGCACATAGGACTAGTGGATCATGGGGAAAAGTTACTTTGTAACTAACTTGAATTGTTTTAAATTACATGTTTTAAAATGTATTCATTCAGTGGTCTCTCATCATACTTGAAACAAACTCAAAACCTTCAGGGAAGCACAGTGGCTTAGTGGTTAGCACTTCTGTCTTGGAGCACTGGAGACTTTGGCTTTAATCTTGGATGGCTAAGGACACTATCTGCATGGAGTTTGCATTCTCTCTCTGTGCGTGGGTTGGCACTGGATGTGTTCACATTTACCTGTGTTTCCACACACACTGCCACAGAATGCATACTATAGATTTTGGAATTTTGAAAAAGGCAGATGTGTCAACTGTGCAAAGGGTGCACTGGAAGGCACTGCACCAGTCATTCCAAGGAAAACATATTTCCAGTGCCATAGTGTAATATATCCTTCCTTGAATGAGTCCTTTTTGATATGTTATCACTGACATGGTTTGATATTTGAACCCCAAATTGCCTCACAAACAATTAAGTGAACTTGGGTAAATTGTGCTTTATACATACAGTACCTAACCTCCCACAGTGTACACAACAGTGTTAAATACTTACCTTCTGCTGGGTACACTGAGGGGGCATGGGGAAGTTATGAAGGACAGCTTTACCAAAAGTGTTCCCAGGAAAACCATTTTGCTGCACAAGACCACTCATCTTGCACTTGTCATTCTTGTCATTCTTCCAGTGCTTTTTTTTTTTTAGAAGCGAAGGACAGAATTTAGCTAGTTGCTGTAAGCAGCAGGGGCATATTTAGTTTAAAATACTTATGATACACGAGACTCATCTAAACAATACAAAAAACTAAAATTTGCAATATACAGTCTATCCATCTACATTTTAGGTCTAGAATCCTCTGCATCCAACAACCTTATAGTGTCAGAGGCCTGCTATCCTGCTGCATACTGTGGTTTCATCCACTGGGCCTACTCCATACAGTGATCCACAACATACAGTGAGAGCCTAATCAACTGACACACCTCGAATTGTGTTGAATGCAAAAGATTCTTTGGCAACAATATCTCTCCAATACAGCAAAGATTCAGAGATTAGTGGTGCAGGCAGCAGGACAGGTGAGTATTAAAAACCTTCTTTTACAGTTGGATTTTTTTTCTGTTTCATTTTGGTAATAACCAGGCACTTTAAAGTCTTAACTTTACCCAATTGTTTGAGCTTTGGATAGAGTGGGGCAGAGTTCAAGTTTCTGGCAGACTTTTATTTCTGTGATCCTATATGGGAGATTTTCCCTGTTACAAAGGTAGTAAGGAAACATCTCTCCAACAGGGACACAAATGCCTACAAAATTGTTCTAAACTTTCTGTGTTCTTTCCAAAACAAAATAAAAAGGTATTCAGTAGTACAATTTATATATTTATTTAGAATGACATATCTGACATACAAGGTTGAGTCTTTAACAGATATAGTGATGGAATAAGTACATTATGGGACAGCACAGAAACAAGAGTTAAGAGAAGGCTGCTGGACATAACACTTGTTTCACAGATTGGTTAAATATAAAAATCTGGACAATCTTTCTAACTGTTTTTTTTTTTATAATTTATTGGGTGTTCATCTTGTTAGCATGAAAAAAAGTCTGCATAGAAAATTTACATAAACACAGAAGTAACATTGCTCAGCTTGGCCATTTGCAGTAAAAGCAATGGGATGTAACCTCATTATTATCTTTTGGTCAGAATTTAGTGTCCCTAAGTAGCACATATGTGTTTGACATTTTAAAAAATCTGCCACATAGTCCGAACAATTTACACAAATTAGTATAAAAAAACAATGTGCATTCCACACATACACACATATGCCAATGACAGGTTACTTAGAAGGCAGTCAGCATTTTAGAATTAAAGTGAGCTATGGCAGGAGATCAGTCTAGGTTACTTACACAAATACTGAAATAATGTTACAATTTGTGACTACCTGGCAAAATAGAAAGCTATGAATATGATAATACAAACCCTAGATACATAATGAGGATTGGAAATTATAGATGTTAAAAGTATTTGCATTCTGGAGTGAATAATCCACATAAACTTTGTACAGTCTGCCTAGGAAATTAGCATTTTGAGAGTAGTCTTGGTAATAAACATATTTCTCACACCCAGGTGCATGAAATGGTAACTCACCCCTTTGTCAGAAGTATACTATAAGGACATTTTCCTGCAATAAAGCCCTAATGGTTTAAGGCTGTCAATTTGCTGGTTATCTTGTCATTTACTGAACCAGACTCTGCACATTTCATTTTTTTAGCCTCAATATTAGTATGCTAAGTAAAAATGATTTACCATAAGGAAATAAGAAAACGAATAAACAGGACAATGAAGATTATACTGTATAGATAAAACATGCGGTAAATAAAAAAGATGATGCAGGTTAAAATAAAGAGCATTGGATCTTAAAATATTTTTTTTCTCAAAAGTTCTAAACTGGTTTTAATTGGATTAGGAATCTTATGAAACAAAAGACTGGAATACCTAAAGTTCTTCAATTCTATTAGAAAAGAAAGAGCTTTGTGACATGACGTTGATCTCATACAAAAAAGAAAAGATAACTATTTCTAATATATAAACATTCACGGTTACCTTGGTTGACATTATGAAACAATAGACCTAATACGGAGAATGGCTCCCAAAACTGATATATCAGTGTGAAGTGAACCCTGGCACCTACTATAGCATATTTTTCAGCTTTATGGAAAAAAGTGTGGTCACCCATAACTTGTGCTTTATTAAAAAAACAGTGCAGTCTGAATATAAAGCATTCCATGTTCTGAGCTTAGGGTAGTAATGTTAAAGAGATATCAAAGTACACAGGGATACCAAAGTACACAGTCTTTGTGTACTATATTGTTTGTTTTTTGGGATGGGGAGGGGGGCGGGGGAAGCTCTGGATGCTTGTAAAGGGTAAATACAGCAGGGTGAAGGGTGTGGGGGCTGTTTAGGGGAGGTAATGTGAAGGTGAAGCAATGTGCAGCCATGCTGGAGGACATGGGCTGATGTGGACCAATGTGGTGAGTTCTAGTATGTAATCCTTTCATAGTCAAGTTGACTTATAAGTCATATGCTATAGAATTGGGTCTAAAAAGGAAAAATCTCAACTTGTTTCAGAGATGTCCTATGCAGTGAAAAGAGACAGAAAAACTTGCAGATCACATAGTATTGCAAAACAAAAATGACTGCCAACTCTGAACTGCCAAGTAGGAGTTATAGCAGTGTGGCCCAGATTTAACTTTTTCTGGTTATAAAATGAATTAATGGTGAACCTCTATGTTGATCTTGATTACCTGAACCATCATTCATCCTCCTTTTTGAAGCAATACAAGTATGAGGTACTCTGAATTCGTTATAACTTCCAATCTGCATACTTGTCTCAGGTCAGGCAACTTGGATTTTCAGAAGGTCAGCAATGACAGCCTCCGTAAGTCTCACTGTACAGGGTTTTAAAGGATTTGTTCTCAGGCTTATTACCTGCCCTAGCTATGGTGGTGTTATTATATTCTAAATAAACAAAAATAAAGAGTAATATTAATCCACCTGCACATTGTTTTTTTTAAAAAAAGAAGTCAGTTCTAAAATAAATACAGGGACTGCATTACTCACCTCCTATTAGGAATACTAGTTTTCTGGCTGTCACTAGCTTCAGTATTTTGTCACCGCCAACAATTGGGAACCGCGTCGGGCTGCCGCAGCTCACCGCGTGTTGGGCGCTGATTGTCGCTGTCAGATGCTGGAAGGTCTCAGGTGGCCAGGCTGAGCCTTTGGCGGCTGCATAGGAGAAAAGCCGCTCTGCTGCAGAGTACGGCACTGTCAGTGAGCAATATATGAGAATGACAGCAATCATCAGTGGGAAGCTGAAAGGCTCAGGGGTCGTCTTAGTAAGTGAGAGGGACTGTCAAAGGGCTACGCGTTTTGAGGCAAATGCCTCTTTATCAAGCCAGAGGAAAAGTCCCTCTCACTTACTAAGACGACCCCTGAGCCTTTCAGCTTCCCACTGACAATTGCTGTCATTCTCATATACCGCTCACTGACAGTGCCGTACACTGCAGCTAAGCGGCTTTTCCCCTGTGCAGCCACCAAAGGCTCAGCCTGGCCACCTGAGACCTTCCAGCATCTGACAGCAACAATCAGTGCCCAACATGCGGTGAGCTGCGACAGCCCAACATCCCAATTTTGGGTTGTCGTGGAAACAAGGATTGGTGATAAAGCTTCAGTGGAGACACCTTTTTGACATGATCACTCTTACAGGAGTACATTTCCCTTCCTAGGGGTAGATTTACTTTCACTTCCTGTTGTCTCAAGGACAGGAAGTGAGATTAAATCTTGCTAATGAGGATACAGGCAGCAGTAAAAACCTCACAGTGACCCAGAAGAAGAGGTGGGCACCCCTTGTCTGCACGTCTAACAAGAGCCAACTTCCTGTAATGTACATACAATACTACAAACCAGACCCAAAAAGGCGGGCACTCCTCGTTGGCACGAGCACAGTAGCATTACAACTACCCCTGCTGTAGAGTAATAGCCTCCGAGTCGTATGTAAGTCGGATGTATGTAACTCGGGGACTGCCTGTAACTATTTAGTCATCAGGGACACTTCTTTATACCCATAGAGGCCCTAAACTAGGAAGCACCCTGTACACATTCTTCAACTTGAGCTCCACTGATTAAGTCCAGTATTGTATATGCAGTGTGCCTGGTTCAGGGGTAAACAGAAGAGGTTTTTCTAAGAACCAAATATATCCCTAACACTTAGCGCCTGCCTCTTAAGGGTTTATATGAGGCTTGTATTTTTATTGTCATGCTGTCTCACATTAAGAACTAAGGGTTATCAGTAAAGAAGTCTCAGCTTCCCTGGAATTATATTTTCTGTATTAAAATAGCAACTTAAATGGCTCAGCCTTTATGAGCTTTCCTTGAGATGAAATATTCGTTGATGGTAAATAGTCATCTGCCTGGGCTGATAATAAACATCATAAGAGTTATAATTTTCAAGTGGTCTAGTGCGTTAGTGAGATAACAGTGTAATCTCCAGAGTGCTGTATCTCTTCTGACAGCATGACTTCCCTTCTGCATTATTTATGAAAACATTGTTTCAGATATGTGCTCTTGTTTTGATTTAATGCAACCACCAATGGATGGGTCTTCTAAGTTAACTGGATGAAAGACAATTTTAATAAATTCATTAATATGCAGATTGATTTTGTAACATTATTATATAAACCTGTGATTAAAGAGAAAGATACATTTATCTTCTTTTCAGAACACTCTCAGAAAGCGAGACCCATTCTGTACCACATGCTGATTGCTGCACTAGTCCAACAAAATGTGATTTATACAGTAAGACAGCCAAACAGTGCCTGGAGGAGATTTCTGGTAAGTAGATCAACTAACACATGGAACCTTTGCTCTCACACAGTGGTGGATTAACTTTTCAACTGACTTACACTGTTAAATACGTCATGAGATTAAGAAAAAACTGCAAATAGAAATGCCAGCACATACTTGCAGCAGGCTCCCAAAAGCTCCCATCTGATCAGTATCCCTGCCAAGGATCAGATACTTCTAGGTAGTGTCAAAGCTTATGGCTAAGCCCCAACCCCAAACATTCTGATTGTCCCATTATTCAATAGAAATGCATGGGATGCAAGTAAGGACAGGCACGTTTTTGGCACTTTCAGTAAATACAGTAGGTTTGCCTCAGAACAGTTGAGCATTTGCCTGGCATAAGAAGGTTTGGGGGGCTGCTGAAGGTATGTGCAAGCATCTCTAACTTGCAGTAGTTTTTTCCCATGACAAAGTCCCTACCGTGCTTCACTTGCGTTGAGAATAAAATGTGGTATGCAAATACTTGCCTCTTCTGCTGAAAGTTCTGTTCTGGTAACTACGTTAAGTTAAGTGGGACTTGAATTTGTACAATATAAGTGTTTACTATGAAAAAGGGTCATCAGTACATGGGTAAGACTGAACTGAAAACAATCAAGGCAGGGTGCAGGCTGAACAGGAAGTCAAAGCAACACAAATGATCAATGCCATATTTATTAAGAAGTACAGTAAAGGTGAAGAGCCTTTACTGTACTTTTCCCTGCATAGATATTGGCTACACATTTTTTTGTGACATGGTGGTGCAGAAATATTGTCATCATTTTAGGAATTGTATCTAAATTCTAAGCAAACTTAAGACCAATAAAACAAGAAAATGGTTTGTTTAAAATTGCTATTGTTATAATATGGGTATGTTTTGTGCATGTAAAGGTATGGGAATCTACCTCTGCAAAGGATACAGGCTGAGAAACAGGTAAACTGCTGAGGCATCTGACTGTTGGAAATATGGAGTTATGTATCCCTCTAGACGTCAGATACAGTTGTGGATAAAGAGAAGTACAAGCAGCAGGAAGACACCAGCTGCTGGCCTTTGAAACACAATGCTACCAGCAGGTGAAATAGGAAATAGCAGATTTGTGTCACTGGCCTTATTTTTAACATTTTTTGGATGTTGCTTGCTATGATGTTTAAGGCTTTTAACCTGCCCTTCTAAAAGCAAAATATGTATTTGCGTGTCATCTTTATTCATTAAAGTGGACCTTTACCCCCTTTGACTAAAAATTACATCAGCTTACAGCTCTGCATGTTGCTATGAAATTATCTTACATTCATTAGTTAAACAAACATAGATTTATTTTACTTACAATTTATTTTATTTCCACTTGCTGGTCCACTTTGGCACAAATGATGTAATATGCCCAAGCATTGCATCCTGGGAAGGTTATATCAGCAGAGCATTGCTGGGAAATCTCATCTGTAATCTCACGAGATCTCAGAGAAAGGCATTCCTCCCTTGAGATGATGTACATGGTCACATGTGCTAGAGTTGCAGAAAGTAAAGGGAGATCTAGTAACCTGCCCTTAGTTAAAATGGCCACTGTCAGAAGACTGGGAAAGAAAAGTGAAATGAGGTATGCAAAGAATAAAAAGCCTGCAATTATCCAGAAGCATGTGTTTGTAGATTGCCATTAGTAAACATTTCTAAAGGTGCCTTTGTTGTTATTTTGAAGATATGGGTTAAGTTCTTCCTTGAAATTACTGTTACCTTACTATAATCAGGACAGTGTGTCTCAATTAAAAACAGGAATATCACATTTAAACAGGATATTTATTTAAAAAATTAAATTCCTCTCGAAATCCATTAATCTTTTTTTTAATCACAAATCATACCAGATATTTATTTGTGACAAAGACACACTAAGTAAGTCTCTGCTTCGTTAAAGACTTTTACATGTGTGAAAATATCATGCCAATTTCTGATCTCATAATATTTATTTATTTTTATATTCGTCTAAAATGCTAATCAAATTTCCAAGTCCAACTTGGGAACATGTGCTTTCTTGAACTGCCAACAAAACAGAAACAGATGGCAGACGCACAGTATCTAAATGTTACTTTAAAATTAGTATTGGATGTTTGAAGATCAACTTGGTATTTGCACATTTTAAATATCATACTGGGAAAGTTAAGCTTATATTATGTATCTGCCTTCAAGAAAAGATAAAATCCATGAAATTAACACTCCGTTTCATATAAAGCTTTACACAAAATTGCAGGAGTGCCTATAGCTTTAACAGAACTTTTCATAATGGGAGTGTCTTAGGAAAGTATTTCTTGATAATTTGTGTTACATATTTTTTATTGAGGTTTCACAATAAACAATCCAATAATTTCAAATCTTAAGGAAACACACACACAGTGTAAACATCTCCTAATAATAATATCCACTAATAGTACATCTACAGTGATAGTTCAGGATGAATACATATTTGACTTCTGCATACACTGTAATGTCATGCATTTATCTTGATGCTATTTATACAAAATAAAATTTCGTATATGTCTTAAAAACAATGTAAAAAATATTAAGGAAGGGAAAGCAGCTGTACGCAGGGCCGGGTTTCCCACAAGGCAAAACGAGGCCCGGCCTCGGGGGGCGGCAGGGAGCAGAGGGGCAGCAGGGGTGTGGAATACATATTGCCCGACGCCCAGGACATGAAGTTCCGGGTTCCGGACGGGTAGTTGTTTTGTACATTTAGCCCTGCTTTGTGCAAGCAGGACTAAATGTGCAGTGGAGAAGCCGCTCGTTTGTAGGGGCGGGGAGGGACGTTTAAAAATGCCCACCTGCATCTACAAGGCTCCTGTCTGCCTGTTTCGGTATGGCCAATGGACAGGAGGTGGTTACAGTGTATGTTATCCCTCAAAAATGTTAATGCATATATGCATCTGTAATTTATGTTGGTTATGTGTTTAGATGAAGCACTGAGATCTTGAGGAATGCTGAAATAAGCTTTACTTGCTTAGAAGGACATTACATCAGAATACAGCATACAGAACTTTCTGTATATCATAGATATAGAGCATGCATATAAAGACTAACATTGCACTACAGCGCCATCTACAGCTCAAAAGACAAATTATCAGTACACTTTAGAATGTCAGTAATACAATCAGTACATATCATCATATGCTGCTGTATTTCCAACACCCCTTCTCTACCACATATGCATTGCTATTTGACGTTTAGCTTCTCTCGAAGGAAACTGTAACGATCCTTTGGCAATGGCTTGGTGAGTGTATCCGTAGTCATTTCTTCATTTCTTCTGATAAATGTCCAGGTTTTATTTTCTTGGAGTGATCTTATTTCTTCTTTTGCTGCTTTTCTCCGTTGATTGGCTGTGCGTTTTGGTAATTTTTCTGTCTTCCCACGATGTTGGTTTGAGTATGCTATGTGTCTTAGCAGTATATCACAGCTTGCAGGGTGGTATTCCCTTTGTTACTCAAGTGGATCTTCTAATTTCAGGTTTTTCAGCAGAATTTTATGTGGAATTTGAATTATCCATTTTGAGTTCCACTTCTTGTTCTGATTCCTGTGCAGCTTCACTTTGCTCAGTTTTCTTTGATGGTTTACTGGGCGAATTCACTTCACAATTTACTGGGATCATTGTTTCTGATGATGAGTTCTAATTGGAATAAACGCTGCAACTTATTGTTACTTTGTCAGTCTTTGGGTGGAGGATTCTATATCCCTTATATTGTTCGCTGTAGCCCACCAGAATATCTTCAATTGCTGTGTTCTCCAATTTGGATTGCTTCTCGTTTGGAATATTTGCGTAATCTTTACATACAAATGTTCTGATGTGCCCTAGGTTAGACTTTGATCCATGGCTCATTTCAAATGGGGTACTTTTAACTGCTTTGAAGGTAGTCTGTTCTGTATGTATGTTGCAGTCATGACTGCTTCTCCCCAGTACTTCTTGGGTAGGTTGGCGTCTGACAGCATGCATCTGGCCATTTCTATAAGAGTGCAATTTTTCCGTTCTGCTACACCATTTTGTACAGGAGTGTATGATGTGGTGGTCTGGTGTACTATACCTTGGTTCTTCAGGTATGATTCCACATCCACTGATGTATTCCCCTCCGCTGTCGGTGTGTATACTTTCTGGTTTCCATTGGAACTTGTTGCTGGACATGGCTACAAATTCTTGAAGTTTTTCTGATGTTTCATTCTTGTGCTTCATCAGATAAGTTGTTGTGCACCTGGAATAATCATCAATGAAAGTCAGTAGATATCTGTTCCCGCCTGATATGGGAGTTTTTATTGGTCCGCACACATCGCTGTGTATGAGCTCCATTGGGTGGTTGGTCTTTCTTTAGGTGACCTTTGGAAGTGGGGTATGTGTGGCCTTTGCTTCCATACAGCATTTGCATGTCATGAGCATTTGGCAGGGCAGTACGGTTATATCTTCTGATAATCCTCCCTTTATAATGTCCTTTATGGCTTTGGGTTCCGGTGCCCTAGTGGTCTGTGCCATAGAGGGATACTACTGCTGTGTGGATTATGAGTGGCTGTCTTGACTTGTTTTTTGTGGTGATGAGTCTGTATAGCTGTTCATCTAGTTTTCCTTATTAGCTACTGTTATTAGCATGGGTTTTCACTGATAGAATGCTTCCTTCAAGATCTGGGACATACAGTAAATTTTTCATGAGGCTACTCTGCTTGTCCACTAACTGTGTGATGCAGTTCTAGAATCCTTGACCGTTACCTTCTGTGGTAATACTTTTCCCATTTGCTAGGAAGACTTTGTCCTTTGCACTTAAATCAATTTCTGTGAAAAAGGTCTCATCACTAGTCGTGTGACTTGTCTAGATTCCACCAATAGATCATGCTGGGAGGGAACACACTACAGAGGTGTATACTTGTTTGTGGCGTGTTTATAAGGTTAGTAAATCAACCCCGTTGTGTCTGAATCAATACACCATCTGCGTGGTATACTGTTCTAAATCACTTTAAAGGTAGCGCTCCGTGATGTGCCTGCATTTTACTTAGT